TTTTTTTTTTTTTTGTTCTCAATAGTAGGCCAACTATGCAGCCTACAATGCAATCTCTCTAGACCCGATGAATTTTTAACCGTTCGATCAACACAAACTTGCACGTGTGTATGTGATCAGACAATTGAAACTCACGTGAAGACAGCATCAACATATAGGTTCGACTCATAACCGAAAAAGAAGTAAAAGAGAAGGATAGAGATTAGCAGTAAAAAGAGTTCAATAAATAAATCACCCGCCTACTCAAACCGTAACCATGCCACTTACCGAGTACTCTTAATCGACCAGCTAACCGAAAATTTGCTAGTGAACATCTTTTTTATGAAATGAAAAGTATATCAGATACAAATATGTTTGTAAGTATACCGGTGTGATGTCATCATGTCTTTATGCCTTGAGATCATCCGACATGGCTGATGGTATACAATGGGTTGAAAGAATGTCAAAGGTAGCCGCTTTCGCATTCTTTGTTTGTAAGACAACAATCTGTACAAATTAGAGATAAAAATTTATACGTATGGCAAACGTAAGGGAAAAAAAACAGTGAGAAAAAGAAGGAGGCTTTTTTGTTTTGCCTGTTGGTACTCTAAGTCGAATTTCAAATATTCATCATCACAGCTCTCTACCATCCTAGCCAAGCTCTTCAGATTCTTCACAGGCTGACCATTGAAGGCGTGAACCTAAACATATATCCAAACAAAGGATAAAATAAAATTTGGGAGAAGGAAAAATGNAGGAAATCAGAGTGTAAAAATGCTAGCAAGTTTTGAAGTTAATATCGAACAGTGGACACTGATTAAAAATAACCTGAGTGTTTACAATGTCCTCATATCCAATGTTGATGTCGGCCACGAGCACCTTTGAAGAATTTCACAAACAAAGAAAGAGTTGAGCAAGATTTGAGTACTCTAAGATACAAAATCAAAAAACGACAGCACTATAGTTCTTTTGAAGATTAACCTGAGAAACGACAACAATTTGTTCCTCAGGTGATTGCGGCATTTCGTGCACGAGTTTGTCCAACAACTTGACTGGGGCTTCATACTCGTACTCCTTCCCATACTGGAGGTATAAAGAATGTCATGACAAATAATTAAAAAAAAATGAAAATATCGACAAGCACAAACATAGAAACACTTTTTGAGAGTTACCTACATTCATAAATAAGTGAAAAGACATAACATCATTAATAACCGGGGGCAATATACTAACCTCAGAGCGGAGATATGGAACTGAAACAGTCGTAAAAACAAAACCACCAATAATGTAATATGAGGGAGGTTGGCCTTTGTTGTGAGCTGGAATAAGCCTTCTATGCGAGCCGAGCTTGATGTTGAACTTCAGAGTTTTAGAATCACGAAGAACTTTTATTACAGCATCATCCCCAGTATACTTCTGGGACACAAGGTAACTAAAGCCTATGCGCTCTCCGTGCCTAAATGGAACTGCAAGCAACCAAAACATGAGTTATGCACCAAATCAATCATGCTAAGATAATATTAAAAATAAATAATTCTTTTCTAGATAAAGTTATTGCAATAAAATATACGATATAAGGAGATTCTTTTAATATTAACGCCAGATACCTGTTCCATCGTTGGCAATATTAACGCCATCAAAGCTAAGGATGATATCTGATGGTCTCAAGACCTGGAACTCTGGAGCAGTTGGGTCGATTCTTCTTATCCGCACACCTTTCTGGTCAGGCTTCATCCCCATGGATAACCGCAAGTCCGGATTTTCCATCTTCTGCCACTCAACTCCGAGAATAGGAAATCCTAAAGGGCAACACAAAATAATTCGTGGGGTCAAAGGATTGGATGGATAATTATTGAAATGATAGAAGATCTTTTCAGAAAGTGTGATTAAATTTGAATTCAAAATACAATCCATTTTAATCTTTGCATTATTAGTCAAAACTTTAATATGTCAAGCTAACTCATAATCTGAACAGCTTGTGATACCTGTATATGTTCCATTCTTTTCATAATCTTGGATAAAGTGCATGATGACAGGTGTTGGAATAACATAGCCAATATTCTCTGCATCTTCATGCTTGAGTGATTGGAATGCAATACCGACACAGTTTCCCTTGTCATTAAAAGCAGGTCCTCCAGAATTGCCAGAGTTTATAGCAGCATCTATCTGCAGATGAAACATTGTTTTGCCACAAGAAAGTAGCATAAATATATTTAGAGACCAAGAATATTAAAAAAAAAAAAATGAATTGCAGGCTACCTGCAATCCTAGAAGTTCGGTTGATCCATGAACATAGGAAAGAATTTCTATCCGCGACACCACCCCACTTGTTACAGATATCGTATCACCGCCAATTGGATAACCAACAACTGTAACAGCATCTTGAAGTGCAGGCAGATCCCCAAATTCCACAGGGGACACGCCTTCCCAGAATTCATCATCATCAACTGTTAGCAAAGCTGCACCATCATATGAAACAAAGTGAACCTCAGAAAGCAAGTATTACTTACCCCGCTCCTCCATAAGATTTTTAACGGGTCATTATCCAATAAGTATAACTCGAGTCACAAGAAAAAAAAATTACTAATTTGAGAGAACCAGAAACAAAAGTTTAACATATTTGGCATGTACCAAGAATAATTAGAAGACGAAGCCTTTCTTATGTGAGGAGATTATATAGTTCAAAATTCTTTTTCTTTCAAAAATATAATGTGGTTACTTTAAAAGATTGCAAGCACTGTAGACCACATGCCCACGTGCGCACAACAAAAAATATTTTCTTACAAAAATTATGAGCTACAAATGATCTCCATCGAGATGAAGACAAACCTTTCCAACATCCTCATATAATAATATGTTTCCTAACACCATTATATAAATCAAGAATGAAATGCACCAGTTACAGTAACCATTTTTATAGTCTTCCATGAAACTACTGTTAGATTGACTTTAGCATAAATATGGTTGTTTATCACATCAGACAAACAATTAGAAGACTGCACCAACAAATAAACCTTGAAATGTCTATCTAGATTCAAATAGAATAATCAATTATTTGGCATTCAATTGCCATTCAACAACAACAACAACATAGCCTTTAGTCCCAAGCAAGTCGGGGTAGGCTAGAGATGAAACCCAAGAGAAACACAAAAAGACTCGCACCGAAAGGAAGAGATC